AAAGGCGATGTGAAAGATCAATTTATTAAAGAAATTAGTGATGCATTAGATTGCTCTGATGATAACGAAAAAAGACTAGGATTAAGGAAGGCATTTGCTGAATGGGGTAGCTTTATAGCTTCTGATGTCATTATCGGTGGTGCTGTAACGATAAAAAATTGGTCAAAAAATAGCAATGAAAACAAATCACGTTTAATGACATATATCCAATGGGGTATAGAGTACGCAAGAAGTGGAAAGTCACCGGTTTTCAGTGATGCGTTACTTAGTGACTTTCCTCAATTTGAAGCCTCAAAAAAGGACATGAGAACTATTGGAGAATTATATGAATGGTTAAACGATATATATAATTACAAATGCGCTGAAATTATCTCATATCAAAATCTTAGACATTCCTATAGATTATTAGATGAAGATTTAGTTAAACGCGTATTCCAATGTTTAAATCATCTACCCCAAGATAGGCCAATAAAGAGAATCCCACAGATACCGAATCAATATGATCAACACAAATTTTCCGAATGGATAAGAATACCAAAGCCTCCATTATTGTTATACGCGCGTGATTGGATATATGAACTGTCTCTGAGACATGGTATACTACTGAAACGCGCATATTTAGGACATAGTGAAAAAGCTTGTCTCAAATTTTCTAAAGACCCTAAAATCATGGAAATGAATAATATTACTGTTTCATTAACACAACCCTCAACCCAACAAGATGCATATTTATTTAATAATGGTATCATCATAAAGGAAAGCGATGAATTGGATTTAAAAAATATTCCTTTTTGTGATGATATTTTAGAATTTAATCATCCTTTAGAAAATTTTCAACCTCCTAAGGAACCATCTAAAACGGTCTATTGTCAAATTATTGCCAAAATGGCAAAAATTTCTTTTGAGTTAGAAAATATTAAACCTTTAGAACAAGTTCCAGAGTTTGTTAATATTTCTCTCGAAAGTAGCGAACCATATAAAAATCTTCGTGAATTATTTAGTAATAATTATGGGCATTTAATTCCAAGGACTTTAACTTTAGGAGGAAAATTATCAATTGAATTTAAATCCTGTGATATTCCTGAAAACACTATTGTTCCCCAAATCCATAGTGATGATAAGTTTGATGCAATAGAAATTAGACAAATTTTAGCAAGTTGGGATCATCAATACAAACACTTTAATACTAAAATCTTTGCGGGTGATGGGGAAATTGTCAATCGAGATAACATTGATAATTGGTGGAAAACACTCAAATCTAATCCTAGTAAATGGAAGATTCTTTCTTATGAAGATTGGACTCCAGTATATAAAATATTAAAAAAAGCACAGAGTAAAGATGTAAAAGAACTTTTGAATGACAAATACCGTATAGTTTTTAACGGAGATGAATCACTACAAAGAAATGATCAAACTGTTGTAAATATTAAATTTCCTGGCGCTATTGACAATAACTATCAAATATATGGAAGTGCCGCTAAAAGAAATCAAGAAGGTAATTGGGAAAAAATTCAGGGTTTAAAAGTTAGATTTAGATATACTAATAAATATGGCTGTAATGCAATATTAATCAAAAGTAGCGAGACAAAGTATTTATTATATTTTATAACTATTTATTTTCCTATTTGTCACAGTTTATAATTTCATTAACTTTTATTTTTCATAAAGGTTCGACTATACTGAAGTAAAGATTTTTTGGTTTGTGATTTCTAATCCAAGAGGAACTTATACTAATAAATACCGAAATATTCAAATTGCCTATGGAAAACAAAATATTTATAATTCTCAAACGGAAATATCTTTAAAATGTAATGATCTCTGTGATGATTATATTTTAGTAACCTCTTTCACTTCTCAAACACAAAGGGACACATCATTTCACACAATTAAGCTTAGTAAATGGACAACATCATTGATTAACTTGGAGATCAAAAAAGAAATAAACGATGATATATTAGAACAATCAAGTAATAAACCTGAAGAAACAAATGATTTAGAAACTTCAGGTGAAGATTCGGATCTTGATGCCATAAATCCGTCAGATCAATTCCAGCAAGAGACGATAAAGTTTCAATGGTGTATTGTTTACACAAGTGGAAATGAACTAGCGGATAATGAACTAGTGGATAGCAACGAAATATTCCCATGGAATGTATTTGGAATCATTCTTGATCCTTTATTAAAACAAGATCATGGGATAACATTTATAGAACCAAATTATCCATTAATGACGTTTGAAGAAGCAACTAAACAACACCTTATACCAAATGGCAACATAATAGATGCGTGGAGGGTCTTTGTATATAGAGCAAAGAAAAATGATTATGCAGCAAAATATTGGGTAGGATTCTACTTACAAAACGATATCCTTAAGAATTCGGACTTTTACAACCGTGAAGAAGTTCTTGAAGGTCTTAATATTCAACAAGCAGCTATGAAATTTTATAAAAGTGCCGCAGATAATGGTCATCATGAAGCACAATTAAAATATGGTTATGGACTTTTCAGTGGAAAGGGTGTCCACGAAGACAAACAAATGGCACTGGTATATTTTGAACAATCGGCAAATAATGGTAACGTCGTCGCGATGTATAATTTAGGTGCTATTTATGTAAATGGTAGAGAGAGAGAGAAAGGAAAGAATTTACTAATTAAAGCGGCTAAACTTGGGTATCAAAGCGCCATTGAATACTGTAGTAAAAATCGAATTGATTATATGAATTAAGTTTTATTCGTAGTCATTCATTTATAAAAACTAAGAATTTGAAATTACTTTGTCGTAGCTGTAAAATTTTTATTGTATTATTTTGTTGTTTTTAAAACAAGGTATTATGTAAGTCATAAGAAATTTTTACCTATTAAAGTCTGAATTTACATGTAGATACGTATGTATAATATATATCGGTATATATATTTAAAAATAATCTAATTAATATTAGTTAGGGTCTATTTAGGTTCATCATTATATTGCGTTTCTTTCAAATTGGCCAATCAAATAATTTGTAAAATATCTTTGTATTATATAACAAAACAAAATTCTAAAAAAAAAAATTGAAAATTCAAAATTTTGTCTATAAAACTGTTTGGATGCTCTAATAAAAAGTTTCGACAACATTTTACTATATAAAATATTTTTAATTCTATTGTTATTTTACTTCAAACCTAATGTCACATTAGTCACTTATATTAATTAATTGGAATGTACGTACTTTAGTTTTAAAATATTTTAATCAAGAAGCACTTTAGTTATTTATTATGTTATTAAAAAGCATTTTTATTATATCATTCTAATAACAATATTAATTAAAACGCTTAAAAACGCTTAGCTATAAATCTTAATTATAGTTATAAAGTCTTAAATAATCTGTTTGTTTTTCATATATCAAAACTAGGATGTTAAGTGGTTCACAGAGAGCCGAGCCCGGGACAAGACTTCATACGGGCAATCAGCGTATATTGGGCCCTGAATAGAGTCACTAAATTTAGTCTAACCTCTTATTTAATTTTTTTGATTGGTCTGACGAATGATTAGAGTGGTTGTTTTGATTTATTGAGGGTTCATTTTGCACTATTATGTAAGAAGGATTTAATGAATATGCATCAAACCCATTAGATTATCTCAAAACTCATTAGATTATCGTAGCCTGAACCTACTAAAACATGCAATTTGTCATGGGTTTCTATCATTTTCCCGACAACACTTTCCCGACAAACAAAATCCCGAACAAAAATTGACCAGAACTAACACTAACCCTAACCTAATGCGGGCTTAACTTGTAGGGTTTTTGACATTGTCGGAAAAGTGGTTGTCGGGAAAATGATAGGATCCCATTTGTCATTGTTGCGTAGCATTAAAAATAAACCTTCCGTCTCAAAAATGATGTAAGTGCGTGAGAGTGAAAGCCTGGAAATAGATTTAATGATTTACTATGACTGGCTACAGGTTTTAACTCTCACGCACTCATGAGTTGTCTGTCAGATAATAGCATTGTCAAATAACCTGTTCCATCATCAAAAAGTTTAGGGTACATTCTGCATAGAGGACATATTGACCCATATGAGAGACCATTCAGAACCAACCTGAAAGTAATCACATTAAATGAATCGAGTCATTCTGACACATCGAATAAAACTCGCTAATTAGATCAGGTCCTCTGATTGATAGTTTTAGTAATTGTTTTTACAAGTTCCAAAATTATTTACATTGTATATTAAACCGCTAAGTTTGGACTACTTCCAGACTGGAGTTGCAGATTAGTTCTAACTAGTTCAGGACAAGACTTTTCAGACCGGATCCGGACGGATTTTTTAACATTGCTAGCTAAAACCGGGTTTAATATATGAAAGATAAAATAAGTTCCAAACTCTAATCAGACTAAACATTTCCGTAAGCTGTCGTATAAAAGACCCGGATCTAATACATTTCACCAATTTTAAAACCTATTACTAGACCCATGGGTCTCTTGTATGGTTACGGGTCTGATAATTGGGAGGGTTAATGATAGTTGAATTACTGATCATTAGTACTTAATCCTATTTGTATACCTCGGGTCTTTTACATTTTACCAAAACTTTATCCCATATTATAGACCCGTGTATAATACATAAGGTGAAGCAGGTATTCTGGCGCGGGAGGTAATGTGGTGCACTGGAGTTTTTTTAAAATATCTCGAGATGCACTGAACAAAATTTATTACCATTCGATTCGTCTTACTGAGACGAATCAAATAATATAAATTTTTTTTGGATTCTAATTGCTAAAACAC